GAGAAATGCTATGTAAATTATTTTACAATTCATGGTATGTAATTCCAATTAGTGCAGAGAAAGGACCATAGTTTTAGCATTTGTTTATAAATAATGCAAGACTTTCTGAATTTAGAAAATTAAATACAAATAAGTAGAGGTGAAAAATCAAATGAAATGAGTTGAGACTCTTAGGTTGTACCTAACAAAATGAATTAGCTTTAAGAAAAAGAGCAAGGACTGGAAAGTGGTGAAAAGGGAGAGAGAAGAATGCTGGATGTAGAGGATGAGAAAGAGAGGCAAGGGAGAAAGAAGACAGCAAAAAAACTCAGGGTACCAGTGTCAAATGGACCTTGGCAAATCCCAGAATTAAGGTGTGGCAAACCAGGCATTAAGTGTCCTCTGTCCCTCATGTCCTTCCCACCGAGTTCTCATCCCTCTGCACTGGCTTCATTCTTTTGCCTGTCACCGTAAGTTAGCAAACAGATATCCACTACTCTCGTGTTAGAATGTTTACACCCTCAGAGCACTGCCGTCTTCCTCTCTGTGAATTGTAGGATGGAGACTCTAATTGACAAGCGTTAATAAATTGCCTGTTCATGACTGAAAGGACAATGGCCAAGAGAACTCTGCTCACAGAGTGCAACTGGCACAGCTGAAAGCCCCTTTGTGTGAGGAGGGTTGAGGAGCTAGGAAAGAGACATGGCATAGAGAGGGGTTTTCTTTATGGAAATCACACAAGAGTTCATGTTAAAGGCTTTATAACACATTCTAGAGTAGAAATCACAAGGCCTAAGGCATTGCCCAGTGCAGGGGTGCCTTCTTCCCTCAAGGACAGACACACTCAGCCCCTGCTTGCACACTGTGCTAACAGAGAGCTGAAGTGGGAGGCAGTTCATTCCAGTGTTAGGCAGCTTCATTGTTAGAAGTTAGTTGTTATGCTGAGCTGAAATTTGCCTTTCTATAACTTTAATCCACTCTGCTCTGTCGAACAAAAACTACAATATGCCTAATTCCCCTTTTTATATGACAGCCCTTTATTTGTTTGAAGATAAGTGATGTGTTCTATGGTTTTCTCCAGGGTAAACATCACCAACTCCTTCAAACTTTCTCTGGATGTCATGGATGGTTCATTCCTCATTATTTTAGTGGGTAGTTTGCCTTTCAATTGTCTAAAAACATATTCTGACTGCAAACGCATAAAGCAGTAAAAGAATTACCTTGGCTTTCATCAGATTCAGCATTAGGAAGATGAGTCATCCAGCAGTGCCATTATCCCTTCACGGCTCTACAAAGGCTTACCGAACAGGTACCATTCACCAGGTGTCTTATATTCCAGTGGGGGGAGGCAGAAACCAAGC